TAAATTCCTGTGCCACTCTGGGGCAACATAACCCCTTGATCCTCTGATCTCTGTATCGGTGTATGTTTGATCTAGCACTAAGAGTTTTGACAGTACAAAGTCAGAAATCTTTGCACACCTGTGCTCATCCATGAGAATGTTTTGCGGTTTAATATCACAGTGAATGATTCGTGTCTCACACTCCTCGTGCAAGTAGAGGATGCCTCTGGCAATATCAAGAGAAATTCTAATTCTTTCTTCCCAGCATGGCCGACTTTCAGGATTGAAAAGTATATCTGCAAGTGATACATTGCTCATGTATTCATATACCAGAAGCCAATTGGATCCTTCAAGCAGTAACCAAGAAGTTGGACTAGATTACGATGATGTGTTTTCCCTATCACCTTCATCTCAGTCTGGAACTCTCTCATTCCTGCCAATTCTTTCTCGAGCCTCTTCACGGCCACAATAGTTTTGTCATTTGATAGGATCCCTTTGTAAACTGTACGAAAAGCTCCTCTACCGAGCTCTTCTTCGAATTCATTTGTGGCTTACACAAGTTCCGCATAAGTAAATGCACGTAAACCAACATCATCAATCATTTCAACATTTTCATCGTTGGAAATCATAAAGGTCCCGACATGCTTTCGGTGGACATAGACCCAAGAAATTGCCAAGATCAATGCAGCCAAAGCAACAAGTGAAGTGCCGATGATAAAGATGTCTAGATGCCGTTCTTTCTTCATTTCATTATCTGAATTATTTGGAACTCCCTGTGTGAAGGATGACCGTGTGCTCACCTTGACAAGAGCAACGTTTGAATCACCCTGCAATCTTCTTCCGTATCTCAATGGAAGCTTTTGCTTTCTGCAGATTCCATATTTAAAGAGAGTTGCAGCACAGTTGCTGTTGAAGATCATAGCTGTGACTCCAAAAATGAGAATGAATCTCAATTTTTAGCGTGGTATTAGAGCCCATTAAACTCTATCGAGTAATTCGATCCGGTTAAGACTCCAAAAATGAGCACATGAATTTCAAGATTGGCATGTTCAAACGAGCCATCATTTTGCGGGAGCATGTTAGTTATAGAATCTCACATCGAATAAAGATGTAAACATAAACCAACTTATAACGGATTGGGTTACTCTTTTTAATAAGATTGATATTTTAAGATGAAATCTCAATTCTTAACACGTTTTTTATGGATTTTGTCGGATTCCCCCAAGTCCACCTCTTCATGATCCTCAGGTAGCAATCTTGTCACAAGCCAATCCCAACTTCAAAATCGACTAAAACACCTAAATCAAGATTACTCTTGAGTTTTTGTAGCACTGAATTGTTTAGGACCGAGAAATAACTCTTCCTTGAAGTATCCACCACAAGAGTGAGTTGGAACTTCAAGAAAAAGCCTTCGCAAAAGATAAAATCACTCTAAGAACCTGAGGAAACACAACAATATTCGATTGTCTGGACTAGTTGTACAAAGTCCAAGTGCTTTTGCCAAAGTTGAATATGTACAATAATCAATGAACATGCACGTCTTTTAGAAAATGATGTCTATGAAACATCACAATATATAAGATATGGAAACATAATCTTCGCTCATCGTATATAAGGTAGTCTCGTGTGCACCAAGCGAACGAAATAATTTTAGGATCTTCTGAAAAAATAGAGACGTAGTTTCCAAAATCAAGAACATGTCGTATTGTGAAACTGTCCTAACAACAGAAATAGCTACTAGACAAGGATACAATATAAAAAATCTGAATTTAAAGAAATATAAATTACCTTCTTATGCACATGTCAAATTCAAACATTTCATATACCCAAAGAGAGAAGTTACACAGACGCAGGGTCAAACCCAGGATAAAAAACCGGGATTTAAAATATGCTGAGGTGGCATCAATTCTTTGAGAAATTGGAGGGAACCTTTAGTGGATAAAAAAATCTGGACCAGACCGATTCATTCCAAATAATAATGAAACCCACTTTCCCCAAATACACCCTTTCTCCTCGTTTCTCCTTTCTCTCGAAGTCGCCGGTTCCAAATGGCCGAATGCCCACGAAATTCTCCTCCATTACCTTGCCCCCAAGAAGTGTGAACAAGAGTGAAGGTTGATTTTTGGGGGTTTTGAAAAAGCTTTGAGTTAAACTCATATTTGCCCTACTTTTGGAATCCCCAAATTCGATAGAGATACCAACCTCCACCATTACCCCTTCCCGATTTTGGATGCGAATCGAACGCAGGTATTTCTACACTCTTTCATTTGGATTGAATTTTGATATGGAGTGAATGTTGATTTTTGGGGGTTTTGAGAAAGCTTTGAGTTAAACTCATATTTGCCCTAAATTTGGAATCCCGAAAATTCGACAGAGATACCAGCCTCCACTATTACTCCTTCCCGACTTTGGAGGCGAATCAAACGCAGGTATTTAGATTGAATTTTGATATGTATTTCATTTCTTGATGAGAAAGCTTGTTACTTTTCCAGATCTAGTAGGAGTCAATGAGTTGAATGCTTTCTATATAGCTTGGTTGGATTAGAATTTTGGACTCTACTTGTCATCATTTTTTATCTGTAAATTTTGGTTTTGGGTTTACTTTTTTACATTATTATTGTTTTAATTTGTCAGAGATTTGCTCAACTCGAACGGTTAGGGGTTGGGTGTTGAGACTTTTAGCATGTTATGGCTACCAATACCCGTAGGAAAAGCTGAAAAAAAATGTAAATAGAGTCTCCCCGGATAAAATCAGATTTTTAACAAATTGTAATAAAAAGTTGCGAATCATATTTGATAAACTCTTCCTGTATGTTGTGCTTATTTGAAATCAATTTAACTTATGCTGAAACCGATTTATCAAAATCTGTTGTTCTTCATCATATGCATGCTACTTGGATTTTGCATGTGTTACATCTAATTATTTATTTTAGTCGAGCACTATTTTTCGTGGTGTATTCCTCTCGTAGAATGAGTGGAAAGAATTACGGAATCTGTCACAGTTGTAGAGCTAAGGACCACTACTTTGCCGAATGCCTACGAAAATGCCGATGCCCACTATGCAAGTCAAGATTCGAGAAGTGTTTCGTGGTGAAGAAAGAGACGGTCAACAAATGACGAGTTTTTCTTTGCTGTATTGAAAATTATGGAATTTGGGATTGGGTTGTGAAAGAAGGATCAAGCGGTCAATCCTCCAGCAACAGCACTTCCTCAATTAACCCGACGACAAACAAAAGCGTTGAAGATATGTCACGCATGTTCCAATCTTGAGTTCGCTTGAATGATGAAGAAGAAATACAAATTTCGATGATCGTGACAATCAGCAAGGCAAAAGGTAGCACGGAAGAAAATGCTGAAGGGGAGGGGTCGACATGATTATTAGAAATTAATCGAGCGGGGTAGTACATGGAAATTTTCATAGTTTCAAAATCTTCCCATGCAGGGGATCGAGACAACTAAATATTTTGTTTTGTCTTGTTGTATAACAATGTTTCTGTATGTCAACTTAGTATCACTAGCCAGTGCTAATATCCCTCTTTTTTGTATATGACTTTAGTATCACTAGCCAGTGCTAAATATTTATGTTTTGTCTTGTTGCATTTGGATCAGTAAGGACACTTTAAGAGTGTTTTTTGGAGCATTGAATAGTTTGTTTTGGTGAGAAATGATTCTTAAAATGTTAAATCCTCAGACGTCAAATTTTAAATATGTTGCTGGAAAAAACAAAATGCATAGTTGACAAACATTAGTAGATCTTAAATTATTGAGCAGTAATATATTTCACATTGATGTCTTTCTAGTGAACTGTTTTATTGAACAATGTAAAAATTTTGAAATGTGTGATTACAAATTCATATTGACTTCTACTTAGATTTTTGTCAATCTTTTAGCTAAATCAAACAGGTTATTTTCCGTAACCTATCAAACTGAATAACTCTCTAGTCGGTCAACTGTGAACTTCATAAAATTCTGCTGTACAAATTGGTTGAACTGAACGTAGTCTCTGGGCATGACAAAGGCAAATTACATTTCTGACTCTCAAAACTACTACTCTCATTCACACTAAAAGCTTCAGTTTGGGTGTCAAAAATTAGTCAAAATAGTTGAAATAACACCCCTATTCGGTAACTCTTATTACAGTTTCTAGGATAAACTTAACAAGAAAGAAAAATCAATTCACTTACCAGAAAATGAGTTTAACATGCACATTAAAATCCCCGTCGTATAAAATATAAGAGGAAAAAGAACAAGAATTTCCATAGAAACGACAAATGAAGATAAATCCAAAAAATTGTGGTAAAGCCATAAAGTCCTATAAAAAAAATGAATTTAAATAGAACCAAATGAAAGAGGGTAGAAATACCTGCGTTCGATTAGCCTCCAAAGTCGGGAAGGGGTAATGGTGGAGGCTGGTATCTATGTCGAATTTGGGGATTCCAAAATTAGGGCAAATATGAGTTAAACTCAAAGCTTTGTCAAAACCCCCAAAAATCAACCTTCACTCTTGTTCACACTTCTTGGGGCAGGGTAATGGAGGAGATTTTCGTGGGCATTCGACCATTCGGAACCGACGACTTCGAGAGAGAGGAGAAACGAGGAGAAAGGGTGTATTGGGGGAGAATAATGCTTTGTGTACAATCCATAGTTGACAATAAATTTGACAATCTATGTTAATTCAAATTTGAATGGGCGGGAAAGTGTGTGGTGTTTAAAAACAGGCCACTCGACCTTCAACATGTGGCACATTGTCAAACTTGATGTCGAAAAAATTGTACGTGTAGCATGGTTGAATTGGGGAAAGTGGGTTTCATTATTATTTGGAATAAATCGGTCCGGTCCAGATTTTTTTTATCCACTAAAGGCTTCCTTCCGATTTCTCAAAGAATTGATGCCATTTCAGCATATTTTAAATCCCTGTTTTTTAGCCTGGGTTTGACACTGAGTCTGTTGCTTTTCTCATAACGAAAATCACGACAAGTGCAATAAGGAAACATAATTTTGTGCAGATGATCAAGGAAATAATATAAAATGATATTTCCATATTCCTAACTGTTGGACCTTCAATTAAATGTGGAGACATTCTGACAAGTTCCAAAATTTTGTAACTTTCATTTTACAGAAAGTCTTCACTTTTATGGCTTACTTGGATTTTCATTTTATTATCATACTAAAAGTTTAGCCCGCATCTTGGAAAAGGCTATATTGGATTTTTTATGTTTTTAAAATCGACCAAAATTTGCTTGAGAAGGTTTTTACTGTTTGGAGAGGTAAAATCAGGTGATCTGAACTATGGAGTTGTAGTAGAATGTTCGGGGTGTCCCCCTTATTTTTCCATAACCAAAACTCTCTTGTTAGCCTTGTCTTTATTCAAATTGAATATATATGAATTTGATATGAATGACATTCGTGTTTGATTGTCTATCATATGACACTAAACATCGTCCCATTTCGTATTTTTCATATTATAGAGGGAATGCATCCAAGTGAATTACAGAAAACCCGAAATAAAATCTTCAACTTAAACTTTAACATCCAAGAAAATGCAAGTAATGTCGACCAATTCAAATACTAATTAGCACTAACAACTCTCCCCAACAATTAGGGGATTATTAACAGAAAGTCAAATATAGAACAGTAAATACAATTAAACCTTAATGCTTCAACATATCTACCCTTAAACTGAATTGCAAAAATGCAATCAGTTTACTCCAACTTCGAACACATACCAAGCTTATCACCTAGCCTCAAGATCACATCCAATTTGAGAGGCTTTGTCATAATATCAGAAAGTTGTTCTTGTGTGCTGCAGTGCACAAGTTCAACAGTTTCCTCCTTTGTCAAGTCACGCAAAAAATGAAATCTCACATCTATATGTTTGCTCCCCACATGCATGACTGGATTTTTTGAAAGTTTCATGGCCGATACTCCTTTGATCTGAGGAAATTCTCCATGAGAATAGCCCAATGATCGTAATGACCATCGAACCGTGGAATCGCCGGCTGAACAAAGCTCCTGTTCTCTGTCGCCATGATTCTCTGACTTCTCTCTCCTTTTCTGATCTCTCACTCTTGCTTCACCCTTAAGAAACTGCAGTTTCTCAGAACACTCAATCAGGCCCTTGTGATGGTAGCTCCGATACCACTGTTAAGTCACTCAATAAACTGTTGAATAACTTACTGTGTTTGGAAGATAAAGCATAGTCTTATTCAATAAACGGTGGCCTTATATAAAGTCTTTTACAAAGAAAAAGGAAAACAAACTCCACGTTGAACACTCCTAAAAATGTGGCAAGAGGTCTAGACCAGTTCAAATACAAATTAGCACTAACAACTCACCCAAACAATTAGGGGATAATTAACAGAAAGCTAAATATAAAACAGTAAATACAATTAAACCTTAATGCTTCAACAGTAACCTGACTGATTAACTGTCCTCGCGCTCAAATTACATTCACAACACCAACAAAAAAGATGAAACAGAATGCAAAAGGTGGGAAAAAACATTCTAAATGAAACTTCGGAAAGAATTAGGACTTGGAGGTACTGGAATGTCTAAAGTCCCTTCCAGCATCAATAGAACATTCTTCATTGACGGCCGCATGGATGGCTAGTCTTGGATGCACCAGATAGNTTGACGGACGCATGGATGGCTCGTCTTGGATGCACCAGATAGCAATTTTAATCATCTTGTCCAATGTTCTTGTGTCAACCTCCTCATATCCCACCAGTTTATTCAGCTCTCCGGCAGCGTAACAGTTGTAAACCCATTCTTGAAGAATAGCTTCATTCTCAGAGACTCTCCGATCAACACTTCTTCGACAACATATGATTTCTAGTAGCACGACTCCAAAGCTGTATACATCTGCTTTAACTGTTACAGGTAAATTCATGTGCCACTCTGGGGCAACATAACCCCTTGTTCCTCTAATCCCTGTATTGGTGTATGTTTGATCTAGCATCAAGAGTTTTGCCAGTCCAAAGTCGGAAATCTTCGCACACCTGTGCTCATCCATGAGAATGTTTTGCGGTTTAATATCACAGTGAATGATTCGTGTCTCACACTCCTCGTGCAAGTAGAGGATGCCTCTGGCAATATCAAGAGAAATTCTAATTCTTTCTTCCCAGCATGGCCGACTTTCGGGATTGAAAAGTATATCTGCAAGTGATCCATTCCTCATGTATTCATATACCAGAAGCCAATTGGATCCTTCAAAGCAGTAACCAAGAAGTCGGACAAGATTACGATGATATGTTTTCCCTATCACCTTCATCTCAGTCTGGAACTCTCTCATTCCTGCCAATTCTTTCTCAAGCCTCTTCACGGCCACAATAATTTTGTCGTTTGATAGGATCCCTTTGTAAACTGTACCAGAAGCTCCTCTACCGAGCTCTTCTTCGAATTCATTTGTGGCTTGCACAAGTTCTGCATAAGTAAATGCTCGTAAACCAACATCATCAATCATTTCAACATTTCTATTGTTGGGAATCGTATAGGTCCCGACATGATTTCGGTGGACATAAACCCAAGAAATTGCCAAGATCAATGCAGCCAAAGCAACAAGTGAAATGCCGATGATTAAGATGTCTAGATGACGTTCTTTCTTGTTTTCATTAGCTGAATTTTTAGGAATTCCCTGTGTGAAGGATGAACGTGTACTCACCTTGACAAGAGCAACGTTTGAATCACCCTGCAATCTTCTTCCGTATCTCAATGGAAGCTTTTGCTTTCTGCAGATTTGATCTTTAAACAGAGCTGCATCACAGTTGCAGTCCTCTAAACAAGTATTTTCACAATCTTCTTTAGTCTTCATATCTATTATAATATCATAATTAGTGTCTTCCCACACTGTGTTTTCCAGTGATCTCATTCTATAACTGACATTTTGATCCTTGTCTTTACAATTTTCCATGGAAAAATTCCTCTCACATCCCAAGCTCCAATTGCCTGGAATAACAAGTGAAAATCCTGGAAGACATTCACACCGTGTTTGCGCATCCACCATACTACAGAAACTATTTACCGGGCATATACCCTTGGGGACACATTTATCTTCATTGGATGACCATTCTATAGACCACTTGCCTTGAAGATCCAACGAACGATTATATACTCGAAAAATGCCATCCATATCAATTCTCACGATGCAGATAGTTCTCGTTCGAAATTGTCCTATCGTATTCGTAATATTGTGTATAATGGAATTTCCATCCAACAAATAAAGACAGCCATTATTATCAAGATTCAATGATACATTACTGCCCTTTCCATCGGTGTCTGTTGCATAGTAAGCATCAGACGACGTGACTTCAAGTTTCGCAGGGTATTGCACCAGGTTCCCATCATCTTGCATACTGAGACGGAATTTCCCTTTGGCAGGGTTCGATTCCGAAGCACTGGAGAAGATCTCTTTTCCAGCCAATAGAGGTTGCCCAGGCAAAAGAGTGTCCGTCGGGTTTTCAAAACTCTGCCACGTGATGCTCTGAGACGAATCGTACAGCACAAAATTGCCACTGTCAAGCATTGAAGCTGAAGCAACAGACCGGCGAGGTTCCGCAATATTTTTGTCATCTCTATCTTCCTGCCGCAAAATGAGCCTTCCATCATTGGTTAATACTAAAAACACGTTGCTGGGATAAACGGGATCATCCCTGTTGGCTGTCCACACTACAGTTTTTTCTGGAATTCCAGCAAGAAAAATTCCAACGGCATAGCCATTTGTTACCTTGTAGAATCCAAAAGCATAGAGTCCAGAAGGTGACAGCCATGAAGAATTTCTAATGGGGGTTAAAGAAGATCCAGGTGTAATATCAGCAGATCTTTGTTTCTGGGCTGATGCTGCCATTAATGTAGAAAGAACAAGAAAACAGTGGAAAACAGCCATGGAAACTAGGTTTTCCATTTTTCTTGGGAGATGGCTTCTTTGTTTCATTGAGGAAGGAAGTATGTGTATTTGAAGAGATCAGGGTACTCGCTATTGACTCGTTGCAGTCAGTGCTTAAGCTCTGTTTGTTTGAACAAAGTGTACATACATGAATGTAGGAAAAATATTTCCAAGGTCAAAATATTTGCCTTGATTGCGAATAATTTAAGATACCAAAGGTATCACAATAACATTTTCTTGTAATCGCTTTGAAATTTAAGTAAAACTAGGGAGTAATTTATTGTTGTTGTCGTATTAGACTAAAAAAACAAAACACTTTTTAACCTTGAACATGTTCACTTCGTGCCAAGAAAGAGAATATACAAATTGTGTATGGAATAAATTACGATATTATGTTAAAAGTTCTCGTGCGAGAATATCTACTAAATCGAGATATTCAAGATGTCCAAACATAATGTTATGACTGGGGAGTTGTTCTTGATTAAGTCAACTAGAATGTTGTAAAATTTGCTCTCAAGTAATCAAACTTGAAATCTATTAACTTAGTGGAATAATTAATTATACAATATTGCTATCTATTGACGATTTAGTGTTTGCTTAGTGTTTGAGCTTTCCAAATCATGAGATTGATTAAAATATGATTACAGTGCATTTTATTGTCAATATTTTTTTTTTATGAAAAATGTGTTTTTTCCACTTAATTTTATACTTTTGTGTTATTTGATTGACAAATTTTTCCACAAAAAAATTTTTCCCTATTTTTTTTTTTAACGTGCCCACTTTTTCCTTGAAAAAAGGAAAATATTCTCTTTAGGGAAAAAATATTCTTATGTGCAGTAGACATTATTAAAGATAAGCAACCAAGAATCAAATAATATGCCACTAAGTAACTAACAAGCAATGGCAGTATGAGAAAAGATTTCAAGAAATCACAAAATATGAAAAAAACTAAGAAATGATCAATCAATAACAATAATATCATGCAGGAAACGTTAATTCTTGAAAGTGTTTAAGGGGTGGTAACTCTTTTATCCCCTACTCCCTTAGATTCCCAGATCCTCGATGAGATCTTGGACACCTTAATAACACGTTCCAAAAAGTGACACATGATAATGAAGTAAAAGAGGGGGGGTTTTAGAGAATACCAGAAGCAGATGAGAAGAAGCCTCATAACAGGTACAGGAAGCAATGAGTCACACAGACTTAATTAAGACTCGGTGGAATCAAACGAGTCAAATCAACTTACCACGACTCAGTACTGAGTTGGATCAAGAACACCACAAACTCAATAGGAACACCAGATCAAATGAGATATCCCACAGGAGAAACGATTTTCCAGAAAGATTATACAAATTAGTTTATAAGAAACCTTAGAACTTTTAGAGAAACTTCTTCTAAAGATGAATCAGAAAACTCAAACCCATGAATATTATTTTCCACAAAGATCGTTTCAAAAACCGTAAGATCTATGCAGTCAAACAATTTAAAAAATTACGGTTTCTCAAAAAGTCGGACGCCAACACAGATCTACAACTAATCGTGGCTCTAATACCATTTGTTGGTCCCAGAGTTCACAAAGAACACAATTTAAACAAGTAAATCACGAAAAATAAAGAACAACACAAAGGATTTTTAACCCAAAACGGTCCGGATGTTCAGCAATCGGCCTACTCACCCGTTGAGCATCCAACCCACACAAAGTGATTACGCTCTAGTTCACTAAAAATCAACAAGAAACAGATTACAATGTATGAAGAAATCAGAGATTTCTTCAATTTGTTCTAGCCTCAAAATCACTTAGAAAATACACAATCTCACAAAGCATAGATCAAGTGCCCTCACTGCCTGATCACTAAGAAATATACAGAAATCACTCAAATTTACAAACGGTAGAAAGAAAGAGATGAACCCTAATCACACAGAGAGAACTCTCTCTAAAGCACTGAACAGTTACAACGAAATGAAGCTTTGAGAATCACTATAAGGCAGGGAGATCAAACGTCTTCATCAACGGTGGGAATCTGGCCAAGTTTAGGGCTAGATCACAGAGCCAAAGGAAATAAGTTATGGGCCGAAAAGAAACCGACACAGCACAGGCCCAACACAACCAACTGGGCCAAAGAATTATGAGGCAGCCCAAAACATAATAGTTCGGTTTCAATCTTTACACGGGTTGGATTGTATTAGATTAAATTATGATCAAACCAATAATATTGGATTGGGTTTGAGTTGAGACAAAAATCGGCTTAACCCAATTCATACCCACCCCTAAATGGGATTAAAGAGCTTTGCGCAAGAAATTGGACTAGTTGGTCTTTTCCGAATGGATTCTAGGATGCAACATTTTCTTTAAATATCTAATAAAATATTATTATAGTCATTTTTTGAACTCATAATTGGTTCAAGAATTTTTGACCTCATACAGAAAAATTACTATATAAAATTATCCAGTCCTCCACGATGGTTGTTATTTCCATTTTGACTATTTAAAAATTACTATATTGAAAAACTTTTCCAATCTATTTGTTGAAAGTTTTGGTCTGCTTCCATTTTATCTCCTCGACCACTATGATGTGTATACTTCATTCTTCCAATTCCACATTTGCATTCTCCTAATGATTTGAGTAAATTTTTGGAACCAGACAAAAAATGAAAATTGTGTTTGGAAAAATCACGCGAGACTTTGAGAAAAATAATTATAATAAAAGAGAAGGATACATTTGATGTGATTCAACAAACTGTCGAAGATCGCAAGAGGAGATTTTAGTAGTTGAGAAAGGCCCACAATAGAATTTTTTACTCACTCTCGCAACTTCTTCCTACATAAAAACTAGAACAATTAAAATACGACACACACAAGTTCGTACCATTATTTTTTCTAGTTTCTCTCTAACAATTTTTTCTCTCTTGGATGCACGTCATTCTCTGTCGGAATTCACTTTACCTTGGTCCAAGCACAGTTCTTCTCAATTTAATGCCATTAATTTATAGAAAAGACCGTTGGAACTCTTTTAATAAGTTTCCTTGTAGCATAATGGCCTGTTTGATAGCCCTTTATTTTCCATGGAAGTTGGAATTGAAATTCCGTTTCCTACTTTTGTCGTGTTTGATTGCACTTTTTTTTCGTGGAATTGGTTTTCCACCTTTTTCTAGGTACAATCATTTGATGCACAAAAACTTGATTTTGTTTTCTTACCTATTGGTGGGAAAACATTTTCCACCATTTTTTTTTTGCTTTTTTTTTTTTTTTT